TTTTTTTTTTTTTTCCTTCTCATGATTATATTTAGGGTAAATGTCTTTGTAAGGTTACTACCCAGGTGACATTGTTACTTCCCATTGCACCATACCAGGCTTTCTCATTATGGGGGTGGTAAGTATGGTCAGTGGGTTAATGGTCTCTGTCAGATCATTCCATTGTAAAGGTGCCTTTTCTGTGTGTGTTAACTAACAAGGAATGTGTAGGGTTATAAGGTTGTTTTAAAATAGTAGTTTAAATAAGACCTGTATGTATATTTGCATATATGTATTATCTTACATTTCTGTTTGATGTAACTTGAGTGACTTTTGAAACATCTTAAGAATTTAGGAATGTTAGGAAATTTAACCCTTGGCTGCTAAGTTTCAGGTAGAGTTCTCCAGATAAATTCTCTGCAGGTACCTGCATTTCTCAAATGTTTTCTTCCCACTAGACACGCAAGACAGCTAGTTGGCTGGCAGCGGAGCTCTCAAAAGAAGGCCACCAGGTGGCTCTCCTGAGTGGTGAAATGATGGTGGAGCAGCGAGCTGCAGTAATTGAGCGGTTCAGAGAAGGCAAAGAGAAGGTTCTGGTGACCACCAATGTGTGCGCCCGTGGTGAGCAATAATATGTTCTGGTCTGCCAGGCTTGGGGTCTCAGGCCCCATTAGAGAGAGAAATCCTTGTTTATGGGAAACTCAGATGGTTTGGGGAGACAGCAGGGAGGAGAAAGTTGGTGGTGACATTATTTTGTAGGAGAAACTGTTTGGATTTCCTTCGGTGGTTAGGAACTTTCACAAGAGCCAGGAGTCTTGGCTCGGTGGGAGCAAAGGTAGAGCCATCTGACTGGTTTAGGACGGAGCATGCTCTTCTCGGCACACCCAGTGAGTTTTTAGCTGCATCTCCAGATACCTGTATCAGCAAAGCTCTCTTACTGATTTCGTAATGTTGTTAGCACTTGCCAAAGTCCTGTTCTGTTCCTCTGGGTTGTGCTACATGCCTCTGTGTGCTACCATGTCCCAGAGCTGACCCACCTCAGACTCTTCCCTCCCCTGAAGTTGGTGGACCTCAACCTGACTTTGGGCAACAATGATTTTGTCTCCCATCTACTCTTACTCTCTGTCTCCAACTCTCCTTCATACAGGTATTGATGTGGAACAAGTGTCTGTCGTTATCAACTTTGACCTTCCTGTGGACAAGGATGGGAACCCAGACAATGAGACGTACCTGCACCGGATCGGGCGCACTGGCCGCTTTGGCAAGAGGGGCCTGGCCGTGAACATGGTAGACAGCAAGCACAGCATGAACATCCTGAACAGGATCGAGGGGCATTTTAGTGAGTCCCTGGAGTGTCCTCTGCCTGGCGCCTTTTCCCGACCAGGGGGTGGGGAAAAGCGGGGGGGTTTCCTATGACCCCGAGAGAGGCCTTTGTCCCTGACCACATTTCCCTCCTTTCCTAAGATGAGGACATTCTCAAAGACCACGCCTGGAGGGTCCAGAGCTCGAATGCCAGTGCCTCCTTGGCTGGGCTGAAGGGACCTGGGGCTCTGTTGCTGTAGCAGTGACCAGCACCTGCTGACCCGTTTGGGCGCCGCAAGCCTGTGAGGTTAAAGGAAGGATTGCTGTAGCTGGAGGCGTGTAGAGACCTGTGTCTGTCCTCTCCCTGCTGTGCCATCCCTGCCGCAGTGACTCCAGCCATATCTCCACAGTAACCTCATGTTGACTTCTCTTTGCATCTTTTTTTCCAGATAAGAAGATAGAGAGATTGGACACGGATGATTTAGACGAGATTGAGAAAATCGCCAACTGAGAAGCTCCACTGGGAGCGGTGCCCACCCTTGGGCTCCCCTGCATGGGAAATGAGTGCTTTCACGGCACAGGCCCACAGCCACCACAGAGACGAAGGCGCGAGTAGAGAAAACTACCTACCTCATTTTAGTTACGTTTGGACTTGACCAAAAAAAATGTGCAAATTACAGGGGAAGGTAGAAGAATAAGTGTTGCATTGTAGAAAATTTTCGTCCTTTCGCCTCCCTTTCCTAAGCCAGCATTTCCCTGTCTTTACAGTAATTTGGTTGCTGTTGGTAACCTCTGCCCCCAGGGTCCCCTGCTTGCCTTCTAGCTAGGATTCCTGGCACCAGCCTCCAGCCTCTGAAGGAGAGACTCGAGGTGTTGGGGGCCTGAGCGCAGTGTCAGCCCCACCACCCTCTCTGGAGCATGAGGGGGGCACAGTAAGGAGGCTGAGCTGTCCCCTCCCCTGTCCCTTCACTGGGACATGTTATGAATGTTTCTCCTGCTCTGGCACTCGTCTTATTTCTCCTTAAATCTAGAAACTTTCCTGCTGGTTCCCTTTACCTCTTCTCTGTGTCAAAAGATATTCCTGTCTCTCCCTGGGTGTGCATTGGCTAGCTTTGTAAACCCGACTTGGAAAGAAACAGAAGCCATCAAGTCCAAGCTCATCACAGAAGTCATCCTGGCATAGGTAGATGAGTCTTTCAAGGATGTGGGCCTTTGTTTTCTGTCTTCCTTAGTCTCTGCTCAGGCCTCCTTCTAGTTGCTGGGTCTGCTCAGGCTCCTGGTGGTCAGTCATGGCAGTTGGAGATGCCAGTGATTTTCTGGACATGTGCTGGGTCTAGCTGGTGGGTTCTTAACCATCAGATGGCAGAGTATTCCTGGAGCTGAGCAGCTGGGTTTGGGAAGGAAGTTATGACTAAGTGGAAACTCCGATTATGTTGTCCATCCGTAATAGTGGACTTTGTTGGTTACTTTAATTCATACATTGTATGGATAAGGACTGATAAATTATAGCTATACTCATCACTATGTTAAGAGATTGAAGAATCATGAAACGCTTTACTAATCATGATTTTGTTTTTCTGCTTAGTAGACTAATATATGCTCATTTAAAAAATAATTATATATAAAGTGAAACTGCTTTTTATTCCTGCCTTTCTCACCCTTGTTAGCAGCTTATTGCTTTGTATTTGCATATATCGGTCCACTGTTTTACAGAAATATGAACATTCTATTCATGGTATTGTGTAGCCTGCTTTTTCATTTATCAGTAGATCTTAAACATGTTGACCTGTCTTGCACATCTATGACCACCTCACTCCAGGGTGTAGATGTCCCAGCCTGTAGTGATAGGCATTTGGGTTATTTCCTGCATACTGCTACTACTCAGTCCTCTTACTTATCTTTGTGCACTAATGTGAAATCGCTCTGGGATGTATATATTCCTAGAATTGTTGGGTCAGAGAATGGGGATGTTTAAGACTTAATGCACTGGCAATTTGGCCTGTCAAAAAGTTTTTACTGATTTATTATTACAGTGATACATGAAAATATGTATTATCTCACGTGTTTGCGAAAGCTCATCAATTTTTTAAAACTTTGTCTATTTGAGTGGCCAAAAAATGATTACATCATTACTTTTTTTTTATTTAGTGAGGTTTGGCAAATTCTCAGCTTATTGGATATTTGATTTTCTCTTCTGGGGAATTGCCCATTCTTGTCTTGCCATTTTATTATTGGATTGTCAATCTTTAATGACTGTTAGCCACCTTTGTATATTAGGGAGATTTGACTTTGTCATGAGTGGTGGATGTTTTCCTAGTTTGTCTTTACAAACTCACATTTTTAATGCTACCCAAAAGTTTTAATTTTTATGTTAGATTTCATTTTTAAAGAAATCAGTTTCACGTCCTGGTTAGAAAAGCTTTTCTCATTCCAGTATTATAAAAAATTTACTCATGTTTCTTTTTAGAGGCAGTTCTTGGACAGTAAATTTTCAAATTTTTATGGGTCTTAAAATGATGTCATTTAGCCCTGCTCGTTTGGCTGTGACCGATTAAAGTTACCTGTGAGGGTGAGAGCAAAGCTGAGTCATCGTGACTTCAGATGGGGATCGCGTGCCTATGAATGAAAGACTTGGAGGGTCCTGTGGGTGAAAGTGAGCTTGGGTGGCTAAGTAGGTATCAGAGAGTGACTGCAGATATATGTAAGGGGCAGGTGCAAGCCGCAGCTAGGGGTGGGGGACAGAAGGAAGGTGGAGGATAGAGGCAGTTACAGAAGGACATGGGCAGGGGAGAAGGTGAAATGAGGGGGACAGAGAAGCAATGTGAGGTGGATGACATAAAGGAAGATCAGCCAGGCAGGACATATCAAGGAGGGAGCTGGGGGGAGGGAGAGACACAGGCGGCCAGAGTATGGGCATTTCAGTTCACACGACTCCTACATTGACACCTGCTCTGATCCAGACACACAACAGTGACACACAAAATGTTAAAACAGAAAACAAATTTATTGCTGTGGACTAGTAATGGAGAAAAAATGCAAAGCGCAGAGCAGGGCTGAAGACAAACGTTTATTGGTCTCCAGTCTAGAAACACGGAGTAGCTACAGGATGTTTAGATCTGTGAGTAAAGGTGTGGGGTAAAGAATTTAACTTTACCCAAAGTAATTTGGTCTTTATCCTTGGTTCCTGAGAGAGAACTCTCAGCCCTTGGAATTTTCTGAGTAATTAAGATGACTTTGTTATCTATAGACCTCCAAAGGAGACCTGACAGATTATTAATGAGGGGACTCAGGTTGGGGGCTGGCCAGGCCAGAAAGACTACCTCCTGATATCAGCTGACCTCAGGGGAGGAGGGCATGATTCAACCAACCATGATTATGTAATGAGGTGCCCAGTGAAGGCTCTGGACACGGAAGCTCCGTGGGCTTCCTGGTTGGTAAAAGACACATGGGAGGGTAAGTGCGTCCCTTTTTGGGACATGGAAACTTCATGTTGGAGCTAGAACCCTCCCAGGCCTGCCCTATGTGTCTCTTCATTTGTGTATATATACTTTTTTTTTTTTTTTGCTGTAATAAAACTATAATCATAAGTATAGCATTTTACATGAGTTCTGTGATTCATTTTAGTGAATTATTGAGCCCAAGAGAGTGGGAGCCAGTGGGTCGGAAGTGAGAGGGGCTGAGCTGTTCCTTCAGTGAAACTGGACAGGGAAAAGAACATTCACCTCTCTGTATGAAGTTCTGATTACAAAATGAATACATGAATGGGCCTAACAGGCTGAGGCTGGTGCAGAGGGTACTGACCTAACCAGTTGTCATCTGCACGATTTTTCTGTAAGCGTAAAACTGCTTTAAAAAAGCCTATATAAAAGATTCCTCTGAGTGCAGATACAATGTGCTCTTTCGATTTAACCAAGATTTCTCCCTGGAGAGAAACCACACTGCAAAAAAAGAGCCTGTATTCTCAGGAGCAAAAAGTTGTTGGATGAAAGGTGTTAATTCTGTGTTCTCGGAGGAACAGGTTGCTTCCTATACCCACAGTTCAGCAAGCATCATGGGGTGGGGGACATCCTCTTGCATCTTCCTGGGTTGGTTGTCACCTAGGCAGAGACTTGCTGGAGAAGCTGTGATTTTTCAAGAAGGGTATTGACAATGAGCGTTGATTTCTGATTCACACTCGGAAAGGAATAATCTGATTTTTTTAAATAGTTATTCATAAATTTTATATAGTTTTTGGATTTTTCCCTTCCCCTCACCTAGCAAGGAATAATGCTTTCTTACCTGCCAAATCTGTCACAATAAGCAGTTCCTTGCCTGCAGGTGTTCATGTGATGGGTAAAATAATTGCTTCCCCTGGCAGGAAGCCAGCAGGCCAGCCAGGTGCGCATCCCTCCCTCCCCAGGCCATAAATCCAAGGGTTTCTCCCCTAAAGAGCCCTCTGTGCTATAGACAGTATTACTGTTCACCTCGATGTGGCGCCCCTCCTAAAGGAGTCTTAAACTTCCTGGCTGTACTGAAGCATGGCCGTGGGACTTGTCTGGCATCAAGGAAATGAAAACTTCAACAGAAGCTTTAAGTGCCAGCGTGTGATTCATCAGGTTCTCTTTCGCCTGCTCTCGAGACTAGAGATCCATGTCTCAAAATGGTGCCACTGTTAGCCTGGGCCCTTGCGTGACCACGATGAGCAGAGGCCTGGGATGGACAGGTAGCTTGCATGAGAAATACACTTTATTGTTTAACCCATTGAGAGTTTGAGGTTTTTTTCTTACTGCAATCTAACCTAGCTTATCCTAACCACACCTCCTTCCATCCCATGCAATGGCTACTCCCTGTCCAGCCACCCTAGTGCTGATCCTGATGTTGACAACTCCCCCATGTACACAAACGCTATCATTTTTGATGCGCAGGTGGAAATCCATAGGCTCATTCTAAAATTCATACAGAAGAACAATAGAGTGGGAGGACAATTATAAAATGAGAATAATTCCTGTCTTATCGGGAAACACACACACCACTGAAACAAAATAGACCCCAGAAACAGACCCAAACATATATATGGATGCTTGAATCATGGCAAATAAAGAGTTGATAAACTGAGCTGCATTCAAATTAAGAATTTCTGTTTATCAAAAGACACCATTAAGACAATGAAAAAGCAAGGCACGGAGTGGGAGAAAATATTTGCAACACATATAACTGACGAAGGGCTCTTACCCATAATACATTTTAAAAACTTCTATAAATCATTAAGAGAAGCAACCTAGTAGAAAGACCTGAACAGGCACTTCACAAAAGATATCCAATTGACCAACAGTTATATGATAGGTGCTTAACTACTTTGATAATCTGCAAATCAAAACAAAAATATTACGTAACCACCAGAATGGCTAAAACCTAAAAGATGTACAATACCACGGATTGGCAAGGATGTGGAACAACTGGAACTTCTGGAGGCGTGTCAATTTGTATAACCACTTTGGAAAGGAAGTTGAAGATTCATGTGCTCTATGAACTAACAATTACATTCAACAGTACGATATATACTATTGCCATTATAATCATCAGAAAGATGCACATGTGCACCAGACGTGTACAATGTTCATAGCAGCAGTATTCAGAATATCCATTTACATCCCAATAGATAGTTGTGTGATAATATTGTATACAGCAATGAAAATGAAAGCAATAATTACAGCTACATACAACATGAGTGGATCTCACAAATACAGTGAAACAAACCACATACACCCAAACCATGCACACATACAAAACACATACTGTATGATGCCACTTATACAAAGTTCAAGAGTAAAAAACAAACCCATAGTGTTTAGGGATGAATATGTAAACACATCCCTATCGTCCATGTCTTCAGATAATGGAAGTGTACAGAAAATCAAGGAAGTAATTAGACTGTCAGGACAGTGGCTACCTCGTGGTGGGGATGGGGAGGCTTGTGCTTGGCAAGGGGAATGGGGCAGTGAGAGGTTTCTGGGCTGCACACACAAATTGCTGGTGGTTCCATGGGTGTTCATCTTAAAATAATTCATTAAGCTCTACCTTTTTGCACATTTATTTTTATGCTTTTCTGTGTATGTATTATATTCCAGAAGAAAAAAGTTTTAAAGAATTAATTTTAAAGAATGCATTAGTGACAGGGACACCAACATCACTGAAGAGCTCTGTAACTGGGAGATGACAGTGGGACGTGCTGCCTAGAATTGGTTCCTTGACCTCACCGAGAATAATGGGATCCCAGCACGGTAAAGGCCAGGACGACTGAACTGTCCCAGATAAGGTAGGCACACGTACGATTAACAACCTACAGTATGGTAGAGTTTTGGCTTACAAGGATTTGAGGCAATAGCTAATGGATCATAGGGGTGCTTAGAAATGACGAAGGTGGTGGGCGGCTAAGGTACTGCTTGATGTGTCTGAGGTAAGATTCTAGGTGTGCTGAGAAGAAACCTGATGTGAGCCGCAGGGATTTGAAGCGTCTTACCCAGTTCCCAGACCTGGAGGGCCTTTGTCAAGGGGTCCTTTGACGAACAGTCATCTGCTGTGGCTCAGGTGCACAGCATGAAGCCTTTCCAGAGGAGTCTGCACCGATTTACTGAGGTGACAGTGCAATGGGAAATGGGAAACACCCAGACTTCCCAGATTTTTAGATAACCGCCTCTGAGACCCAAAATGCCATCGTGGTCCACCAGTTAGGGTAGAAGCTTATGTAGTGCAAATGACAGATGGAGCCTTGGCCCAAGTCTATTTAAAAGTGGATCCAGTGAGACCACAGACCGATATTAAGGTAATTTCCTCAGTCGCAGAAGGAAAGAGGTCTATTTACTACCTGAAAGTCCCCATACTGGCAATCTGACCCATGGAGTCAGGATTATTATGACTGGATAGGCCAAATAGGAGCCCCTAGAACTGCCCTCCACCCCATCTCCAAGAAATTAAGTCCAAAGTCAATACCACATCTCTGTAAGACTTGCAGAGACAGGTGCCACCATCAAAACCTGAGTTATGCAGGGGCAGGTAATTTCTATCTATTTACTCACCTGTTTGGTTGATGTCAAAGCCGCATGGGTCTCATGGACAATGACAATAGATTAACACAAATTTAATCAAGTGGTCATGCCAACTTATGGCTCCAGATGTGGTATCTTCACTGGATCAAAGCAACACAGTCCCTGGCCACCATGAAGAAGAGGACACAACGCTTGATGAGACTCTATGGATTCTGGGGGCAACATGTACAGCATTTGGGTGTGCTGCTCCAACCAATTATAGTAACCCATCAAACAACCAGCTTTGAGTTGCGCCCAGGACAAGAAACATTCTGCAGTAGGTCCAGGTTGTGTTGCACATTGCCCTGCCACCTGGGTTCCTGAGTCCCCCTGTGCTCAGGTACAAACAGGAACAAAGATGGCCAAGGGTGAAACTCCATCTGCTACCGGTAGCTCTCCCAAAGAAGGTTCTCCTCTCTTGCCTAGCAACTGAAGATGTTGGTTCCCCCTGTGGCATGTGGGAGTGGGGCATGGAGAGACTGCAGAGGCCATGCAAAAATGTGGAAAACTTATCCTAAGCTTGCCCCATAAAGAGGTCTGGGTGGCCAAGCTTGTGGCACAAATTAGTTTGACCGATGTTGTGACATGCCCAAATCCAGCAGACACTGATGGAGACCTTGGTCGTAAGCATTTATGGTGAGGGGCTAGCCAAATGGCTACAGGACAGCCACTGTGGAAAGCTGCTGCCAGGAACTCTTTCTAATTAACTCCTCTTCTGGAGACAACTACAGAGGAGACAATGAGTTGATTTTTAACAAGGAAGAGTTGCAGACCCTCAGATTTAAATGTCTTGGGAACTTCAGAGCATAGGGTCAACAGAACTAGGCTCCTTAAGGGAAGGGTGTCTAAAGTAATTTCCCAATCCCACTAACCTCCCTCATCCCCACCCGGGAACATTTTTAGCCATTACTCAGTCAAATCTGTCCATTCTCAGATACACCTTTCCATGATCCAATATACTTCAGAACAGAAGACTGACTATATCGTTTTGTTGTTATTGTTTTAATTCAGAAAGAGAAAGGGAAGAAAATAAAAAATATTTGTTTAAATAACTATTGCCGAAAACGAGGCCTAGGTTGGATGCTGGGACCTACCTCTTCCAGAACAGGGATTTATTAATAGTTTAAACAAAAAAAAAGAGAAAGTAATAAATTATTCTGCTCAATACTGTTTGGCATAATTGCATTGTTTTTTCATTTTCTAAACACTCAAAATAGCCTCTTCCAGAAGCACTGAGATGAGACTGGCAAGAATGGCTGGCGCCTTGACTTTCTAAAATTGTGGGAAGTCCTGAGAGGCATTCCATTAAGGCCTCCCCAAATCCACCTCCATTCTTTTACTCCTCCTACTTTGGGAACTAGGAAGAAACAGACTGAAGCAAAGTTCTCAATATGTTAACTTTTAGGTGTGCCCACCGCTCCATCCCAACCCTCCTCCAGGAAACTCCCCCACTGGTTACCGTTCCCCCAGCCAGCTGCAGGAACTATACCAATGGCCAGGAGGCTGCCTGGTAATGTCAACTCACTAAGAAAAAGGATGGTATCTGTGTCAGTCACTACTGGGAGGGGGAATCCTTTTAATGGTTTGGAAGCTTCACAGAAGCCCTCTCCCCCTCTCCTAAACTTCCCCAACCTTGAAGGGTGACAATACCATCAACAGCTTCCTCTTGGGACTTAAGCTGGGTTCAATCAAGCAAACAGCTTCCAGTTGTAACCCCTGGTTGTTAGCGTCCCAGCCCTCCTAGAGCTGGAAATGGAAAGTGGGTAGAGGGAAGAGGCAGGAGAGCATGAAGGGAGGGGACCATGAGGTGTTGGGGGAAGAAGCATGCAGGGCGGCAAGTCTATTCCTCCCCAACTAGGCCCCTGGCTATCTGCATGGCCAGCTTAGAATTTAAAAAGAATCTTTGTTGGTTAGCCATATCTGGCAACTTCAGGTTAACTTAATTATGTGCCCAAAGCAAATTCCACCCCCAAGCAAGAGGCTTCCGACTCCTCTTTGGGGTGATGGGTGAAGAAACAAGGTGCATACACCAGACGGCTGGGAACCTCATCTACAGCCTTCTGTTCAACCTGTTGTTCCTTCTCCCTAGAACCAGCCAAAGACGTACGTGGGTGTATGTGTGTGTGAGAGGAAGACAAGAGAGAAGAGAGGCAGCAGGGGCTTAATCCCAGGGCAAGTTTTCTGATTATTTTCAGAGAAACAAGTAGGCTAGTGAGGAGGCCCAGGGCCTAAGGAGAGACACTAGAAAAGATGTGGGTGAACAGCAGGGGCTGAGGGTACACTTGAGTGAGAAGCACCTTACATGTGATGTGACAGGGCTTCCTTGTCCCCTGCCCTTGTTCCTTACGCCTATATTCCAGAGTTAGGCCCTAAGCGAACTCCGCCCCCAACCACGGGGTGAATGAAATTCTCTAGTTTTCTGGTGAGACACTAAATGCCCTGGTCAGAAAGGCCATCCATAGGGTGGCCAAAGGCTGGGAGGGGAGAAGAAGGGCGAGGGGACCCACGCGTCCTCTATTTTCACCGTGGCTGCATTTCTTTGGTGGGTTTACATTCATTCACCCATCTGGCCTGATACATAAAAGAAATGTGGAGTCTCAAATCCTCTCCGAGGCCTGGAGAGATAGGGGAAGTTACTAGCTTTTCTCCAAGGGTTAGAGTACTTCCTGGAAACCACCTAGACCACTACGCCTCAACTGCTTCAACCACCAGAAAGCCTCGACGAACCTCCCTTTGGACCCCATCCCGAGGCCACGAGGGAGTGCACTCTCCCCGCGAGGAAGGGGAGCCGCCTTACCGTCTCCACCTTCCACACCCAGCGAGGAGGCGCTGCCCCGAGCCTTCCCCACCATCTCCTCCTCCACACCCCCGATGGGGTCAGACCGGCAAGGGGCTGATACGCTCCTTTTGTCGAGCCTGAGAAAAGTACCTCAAGACTGGGACAACTTCTCCTTCAGAAGAAAAAAAAAAAAAACCCTCAAACCCACTGCCATCGAGTCAATTTTGACTCATAGCGACCCCGTAGGACACCACAGAACTGCCCATAGGGTTTCCAAAGCTGTAACCTTTACGGAAGCAGACTGCCACATCTTTCTCCCTTGGAGCGACTCGTGGGTTCGAGCCGCCGACCTTTCAGTTTGCAACTGAGCATTTTACCACTAGGCCACCAGGGCTTCCTTACTTCGCCTTAAAAAGCGCAAAATAAAATCCTATCCAAAAGCGTTAGGAAGTTGGGGTTAAGCAGCCGCCGGCCCGCCTCCCAAAGCCATTGATTGGAGGAGACAGGACCCAGCGCCGGACGTTCTCCTTGAGTCGCATGATTGGCTGGAAGAACCCGAGTCTCCACTCGACTGCAGGTTGATTGGTGCCAGGCCTGGCCGGCCCCGAGTCTCGCGATTGGCAGACAGCCGGCACCGCTGGACTGCAGTATGATTGGTCCAGCCCCGCCGCCTGCCTCGGTCGCTCCTAGTTGCCTGCAGGGGCTGAGCGCCGTGCCGCGCCGCACCCAGGCCGTCGCCCTCGGGTGGCCCGCAGTCCCAACCCGCAGAGCAGCGCCTCACGGCTGGGCCGGAAGGGTAGCGGCGAGGCCTGGCTCAGTTGCCCCGGTAGACCTCGATCTTGCTAGCCTTGGCCAGCATGTCGATGATGTGCGCCTCAAAGTCCGCATCGTGCACGCCCGTCTTGCGGAACTCGCCTGCGTACCGGTTATTCTCCCAGTAGTGGTGCCAGTTGCCCCGGCTGTCGGCGCCGAACCCGTACACGTTCACCTGCGGGGAAGTGCAGGGAGGGCCACTGTGTCGGTGACGGTGGAGACAGGGCGCGGGAGAGCCCTGGGTACCTTGGGCCCTGTCCCATGCTGGTAGAAGAGAGGAGACGCAGGACAACAGCCTGAGAGGCTGAGGGCTGATAAATCCCCGGGTACGGGAGACATAGGGGACACCTGACCCTGGCATTAAGGAAGAACATCGGCTCCCACAAGGTGACTGTTGCTCCCTTTTCAGTTCTACTTCCCCCACCTCATTACACCAGGAAGAATGTCTCAGCTTGGAGCTAGTCTATGAAAGCTCCCCAGTACGTGCTTTTTTAAATGCAGTCAAGTGCCCAAAACCACACATGAAAGAATTTACTGGTAAAGGTGGGTATGCTGGGCGTGAGCACTGACTTTCAAGGCGCAGGAGCCCTGCCACTAGTGAAATGTGGTTACTTGAATGACTGACCTGTTTTTATCAGAGAGCGAGCCTGGCTCTGAGCCGCCGGAGACAACCATCAGGCTGAAGTTTGACTACACTGTTTCCATTCTATTTATGTTTATGGTTACTTTTTCTTCATGGAAAGTAACAGCAACTATGGTAACCTAAAAAACCCACTGCAGTGGGGTCGATTCTGATTCATAGGGTTTCCAAGGCTATAATCTTTACGGAAGCAGACTGCCACATCTTTTTTCCTCAGAGCAACTGGTAGCTGGTGGGTTCAACAGGACAGTTAGCGGCTGAGCGCTTTAACCACTGCACCACCAGGGCTCCTTGCAACTATGGTTGTAGACTTCAATTTCAAAGTAAATTTTTATGAAGTGATTTCAGGTTTGGTACAATCATGAAAAGTGGTAAAGTTTGGGAAATGCAGAGCTATACTTCATAGCCTAAAAGTGGGGGAAATCAAAGCCACTTGGTTTCTGCCTACAAAAACACATTCCCCTTTGAGGTGATGCTGCTAATCTGTGAGACAGATGGCATTCTCTCTGTTCCATGGGTCCAGCTTCTCCTACCCACCTCATCACATACATGCAGGGCGAAGAAGAGCACCAGCATCCCTGTGGAAGGGTAACGGCCGTGGTGCTCTGTCCACCGGTCATGGATGTACTTGAAGAAAGCTGGGTTGTAGATCTGGACCTGGAAGGGAAAGGGCAACAGGCACATGAGGGGCTTCTGGGGCCTGGAGAGCCAGGCCAGGCTCTGGGCAGCTTCTGCCAGTTCCTCCGAGCCTGTCAGTGGACCTGTGCCTCCTGTGTCCTGGTTCCTGTGGCCTCTACTGGGGACTGCTGGGGTCAGCAGATGGAGACTGAAGGTTCTAGAAGGGAACCAGGGGACACCTGAGCCACAGGACCAGGCACACCATGAGTCAGGCCGGCACTGTTTCCACAGAGGAAGGTGAGGAGCTTACCTTTTCTTTATCCACTCGAAGGAAGGACTTCACTGGGGCATAGGTGCTGCAAGCAGAGAGAAAGGTCATACTTCAGGTGACCCCGTGGGACCCAGGGAGGCCTTTCCTTCCCCTCAGGCCTGAGTAATGACAGCCTCACAACAGGCCTCCATGCTTCCAGGGATCTCCCACAGCACCTTCATCACCTGTTCAGAAACCTTCAATGGCTCCCCATGTCTTTCGGGGTGGAATAGGGATGTTTCAGGCAAGTGTTGGGGCCTTCCATAATCTAGCCCCAACTTTTCTTCCTACACTCTCTGCTGTGAACTCATCACTTGGGTCAGATGATCATCTCAAACCCACCATGTCTGTGCTCTTTCCTCTGCCTAGAATGACCCTGCACTGTGCTAATTTTTTTCACAGCAACATGTAAAAATAAATTGGCATAGTGGTGCTTAGGAAAATACCTTACTGGGGGAGGGAGCAGTTAGCAAATAAATGTATAAGGTGCGCATTATTTGTGGAAAAATATGGTATTTAGCCCTATTTCTCCCAACTATAAGATAATGAACATCCGAAAGCCAGAAAACTGTATCTTATACTTCTTTTTAAAAAAAAAGTATGGTGAGACAGAAAACAGGTTAATAATGGTTGTCTAGGACTAGGGGTGGTAGTAGACAGAGTGGGCGTGATAGCGAAGAGGTACGGGTATACATGTGTCAGTTTGTCGTACTGTGGTGGCTTGTGAATTGCTATGATGCTAGAAGCTATGCCACTAGTATTTCAAATTCCAGTAGGGTCACCCATGGTGGACAGGTTTCAGCAGAGCTTCCAGACTAAGACAGACTAGGAAGAAAGGTTTGGTGAACTACTTCCAAAAATCAGCCAGTGAAAACCTTACAGATTACAACAGAATACTGTCTGACTTGCTTGCTCTGGACATGTCATCAGGAGGGATCAATCACTAGGAGGACATCATGTTTGGTGAAGCAGAGGGTCAGCGAGGGAGACCCTTGGTGAAATGGACTGGCACGATAGCTACGATGGACTTAAACATGCTGGTGATTGTGAGGATGGTGCAGGACTGGGTAGTGTTTTGTTCTGTTGTACATAAGGTCGCCATGAGTCACAGTCAACTCAATGGCAGCTAACAACAACAGGGCTGGGGGGAGTGGAGGGAGGTGGGCATGATGGCTAAGAGATGTGGGGTATATCTTTTTGGGGTGATGAAAACATTCTAATTGTGGTGATGATTGCACAACTCTATGACTATATTAAAAGCCATTGAACTGTACACTATAAATGGGTGAATTGTATGGTATGTGAATTATATCTCAAACAATAAAGCTTTTAAAACAATAAATGATGAATTGAATTTTCCATGGTCCCCAGCTATGATGGGCAGCTGCTCCCCAAAGAAAGTGCTCTGAAGGAAGTGTTCCCAAAGTTAGGAGCTACAACCTGGAAAGGAGACCAAGACAAGACTGTCCTTCCCTCCCCACCACCAGGATACTGGAGGTCACCATGCAGGAAGTGGCAAAAAACAAGCTGTGCCCTCAGCTAACCCACCATTTTGGATCCTCCCTACTACTACCTCCCTCCTTCCTAACCCTGCCTGGGCAAAAAGTTCAATTAAAGGAATTCTCAGATCCAGTCCCAGGAAGACTCCTCCCAAGGTGCTCATCACCCATATTCCACTCCCAGCAAGCAGAGAGGCTCACAATCGGATCTGCCCTGTGGACAGGGCGCTGGCAATCCACAGTAGGTCCAGGGCCTTGAAGGGCACCAACACAAAGCTGACATTGGCAGGCAAGTTCTTGGCACTCTCGGGGTACATGAAATGGTGGGTGGTTCGGCTGCCAACATCCTGCTCAAAGCCCACGGTTGGCGCCTGATTCATCCTGCAGGGACAAGAGGGTGATGTCGAGAAGAAACCACCACTGAAACTGGTACCAGAGTTTTAGAGGACAATTTGGTGCAAAATTTAAATGGGTGTACACTTTGACCCAGCAATTCCATTTCTAGAAATCTATAAAAATAGTTGCATAAGTATGCAAAGACATGTATACAAGAATGTTCACTGTGGTATTTACAATAGTGAGAAGTGCTAAAGAACTGATTAATAAATGTTGGCACATTCTATTCATAATGGAATATCATGTAGCCATGAAAAGGAATGAAGTAGATTTACACGTGCTGATAAGAAATAAGTCCATGATCTATTTAGTGGGGTTTGTAAGGAACAGAACAGGTTGGATAGGAAGCCTTAACAGGGTATGGAGCCAGAGCCAGTAGGAAAGTGTCTCTCAGCTGCTTGGGGTATAGAGCAGGGTAGCGGGAGGTAGAAGAACTGGATCACTAACATTTAAGTTGGCTGGGTCCTGGGCTGAGAGCTGATGCCAAGGCTCACTCTAAGAAACAAACCTCATGTCATCCGGGATGGAGAAGACAAGCTGGTTCTGCAGATCAAAGGGCTGCCACTGTCCCCAGACTGGCTTCTGAAGACCCAACATCTGCCTTTTCCACTGAGCTAGCAGCCAGAGCTTTCCTGAGGTCCTTCTTAGGCCAGTCTGCCAGGACCACTCTGCCTCCAGGCCTTCAGACGGCCCTGCTGCAGAGCCTTCACCTCCCTCAGTTCCCTTCCACTTGCTGGGCAAGCACCAGCTCCCAGAAGTCTGGGAATGAAAGGAATAAGAAGTCCAAAAAGATGTTTCATAGCCTCCAAGGGAAGGGGAAGGAACGTGGCATTCTTCTGAGGACAAGATTTTGTTTTTAGGCTCTGACTCATTCTGGAGAGGCCAAGCCCTGGAAGGAGGCCAGAGCAGGGTGGGAGGATGAGATGATCTCTGTGACTTGGGGGCAAAGCCTTCCAGAATTCTATCTGTCCTTGACTTGAGGACACTTGAAGGCAGGGCAGGGTGGACATGTATTCTTGTTTAGAGTTTTTGTGCCTGGGTGCCTAGTCCCTTTCATTCATTCATATAATATTTTGGTATGTCTACTGGAGTCCCTGGGTGGTGCAAATGGTTAACCTTTTTGGTTGGTAACCGAAAGGCTGGAGGTTTGAGTCCACCCAGAAGTGCCTGAGAAGAAAGGCCTGGCAATCTATGCCTGAAAAATCAGCCACTGAAAACCCTATGAAGCACAGTTCTACTGTGACATACATGGGGTCTCCATGGGTCAGAGTTGACTTGATGGCAACTGGTACTGGTACTGTCTACCAGGAGCTATTGTAGGGGTTGTGGATTCATCTATCTGTGGGCCAGTGGAGGCAGGAACAGTTCAGCTCCATTTAGAGTAGTCAGCAGTGCTCAGGGGATATATAGAGGGAGGAGGCTGCAGGGGGACAGGTGAGAAGAGCCATCGTCTCATTGTAACTCACTCTCCCAGTGGGTGTGACATTGGTCCCGCTTCCAGGATGGGAGGCGTCCCCATTGGTTCCAAACCAAAATATGCCTAAAAGCAAAGAGTCACCTCCACTGCCATCTGGCTCCTTCTGTGGATCGGCAGACCACCATCTGGAAAATGACTTCCAGAAAGCTATTCTGGGGTCCACTCCAACACCACATCTCTTAGCTTAGTCCCTGCGAGGCAGCATCTATGGATTCCTTTTGGCAGTCTGGCATGGCCAGGTTACACTCGGCTGTCCAAAGCAGCCATGCCTTTCGGGTCTGCAGTGCTTCTAACAATGGAGCTTCCCAGCCATTGCTAAAGACCATAATGAAAGCTCCCACTTAGTGCAGGTGGTGGGCCGGGGTGGGGAGAGGCAGGCAGGAGTTTCAGGCACTGGAGAATCACATTTTACTTGGCTTCCCAGGTGCCCCAGGGGCTGCAGTGGAAGAGAGGTTTAACTAGGATATGGCAGGCAGGGTGCTTGCCCTGGCCACTGCTTGAGGAGGGGCACTAATGAGCAGTTTCCACTGGCCACTGCAGTTTCCTCACCAGTTGTGAGGAATTCAGCAATTTAAAACTAATTGCTATTTTCCATAGACACTTCTGCACTGGAGCCATGGAAGCCTCATTCCCCAATCTCAGCCACCAACTGTGAGTGGAGAGATGCCTCTCTCCAGCTGCCACCTGGCCTCTCTCCCCTTCTGGGTGCCAGCAGTTGGAAGATGGGAACAATCTCAGGTGGCTCTGAAGTCCTGGATGGGGCCTAGTATGCTCCTCTCCGTCCACACACCCCCTGCCACACATACCATTTCCCAACCTAAGAAAGGTTTTGCAAGGAATGTAAAAGCCTCAGAGACACATTGCTGCCTTGGTGTTGCTATGGAGACAGCAACAGTTTCTAAGACAAAGCCCTTCCTCCTGCCTCCTGGGAAACCTGGCCTTTCTGCAGTGCTCATCCTAAGAGATGCTTAGTGAAAACTGGGCATATTCAGTATCTTTATTCTTAAGGCTCTTCCTCCACCAAAGGAGTGAGGTGCAAGGATCCTGCTGTAGCATTTCTGTCTCCAGCCAACGGTAGGCAGGAAGTCAGAAATGTCATAGGTTCAGGAGCAGAATGAGCAACTCATGTTCTGGTCACATCTACCTGCTATTCCCTGCTCACGTCCAGGCCTTCCTTGCTCTGTACCTTTGCCTAGAATGAACGCCCTGCCCCTTGCCTCGAAGCGGGGCACACGTCTGTTGAATGAATGACTAATAGGCACAGCCCCCGTAATCTAAACGCCGTGAGATACAAGTAAGGAACAGCAGACTAGACAAAGCACTGGACAGCTCCGTCTTCTGCCCAGGCCACCTGCCTTTCATGAGGCAGCCAGGAGAAAGAATCACCTGTTGCTATGGAGCAAGACATTCAGTTTGGTTTGGAATCCTCACTCCTGGCCCAACTGAGGGGGTGGGCTGGTAGGAAGGGCCTCTGGTGGGAGTTTTCACCAATCATCAGCCAGGAGTCTATTTCAGCTCTTTTTCAGAGGAATTCAGAACCTTGGAAACTGAACGCAGGCCTCAAGCAAAGTCTAGAATTGGAATTCTGCTGCTTCATCCACCCCAAGCAGTCAAAGGAGAGATGTGAGCCTGTTGCAGAAGGCTCTGAGAGGAGCACAGATCGCCCAAACAGTGTTAGGTCCCACAACATCCCCCAGCAGCTAACAGCTCCTGCGCTACCAGGCACGGCCAAAGGAAGCTAGTGCCCCTCCGGGAGGCTGGTCCCGGGCCCACCCTCGGGCTCCCCAGGGCTCACCTCATGATGAAGTTGTGCCCGTCCACATCCTGCCCATAGCCAGAGCCCCGCAGGTTACCCGAGTTTCCCACCACGGCACAGCGCCGACACTGGTGGGGGTCCCGGAAACGGTAGGGGTTCTCGCCCGGTACTATCTGGAACAGCTTCTCCAGCACCTCATTGGTGTTGTGTGACTTGAACTGAGGCTGCAGCATCTGTGGAGGGGAAGGGAGAGGTGAGGAAAGATGGGGTGTGAGCAGGGAAAGACACCTGCCTCCCCCACCCTGCCCTCACCCTCCAGCGTCTAAGCCACACAGGCCTCCTGATCCAGGGCTGTCAGGGAGCGGGATTCTCTCTCAACAACAGCAAAGTCTCCCAAGGCTCACTGTTAGGAGACCTAGCTCCTTGATAGCTCTCAAGCCTCTGGGGTGCACTGGGGGTCTAAGGATTGAGATGCTATCTTCCCACGCTCGACGGACCTGCAGACCTGAGCCACGAAGCAGAGAAACTTCCTGGGATCGACATGTATGCAGAGGCCCCTCCTCTGCTGGCCTCTCAGGCAGCTCTGAGTCACTCAGAGAGTTAATTTCGAGGTGCAGTTCATGTGCAAAGCCCTGTGGGGTGGCAGGGGCTTCCTCCCAATCAGCCTACAGGGGGCACCCCTAGAACTCAGCATTCCAGCACAGGGCAAGCAATATTAGTACCTGGAGCCACTCTCGGAGCCCTCAGGGAAGGGCAGGGAGGCATACAAATTCTTTTAGAATCAAACTGGTCCCCTGCACTCCTACCACCCACTACCACCAGTGAAACTGGAATCTAAACTCAGTCTGGAGAGGGAGTCTGGTTCCAAGATAAGAATTCCTAAATTCATGGTAATGGTGGGTGGGGGTGGGGGGAGACGGGATGGTGGGGAGAGAAGGGGAGAAGTGGGGTTCTATTGAGTCTCTGGCCAGGGACACGCTTGGTTCTGAATCAGCTGCTGCATTCCCATGGGCAGGAGGCATCCACCCCCGCCCAAGTCCTGTCTGGCCCTACTTGGCCACCATTGAGACCTATGACCTTGGGCAAGGCTAGGAGCCTTCTGAACCTTGATTTCCCCCATGAAATGAGGGCTTTGACTATGAACAACGGGGCCCTTAAAGGGCTCAGGCTGCCATGGGAAAGGACTGCGGGGCTCCCCAAGACCTCTGTTCTGCGGACTTCCCAGTCCTTAGGGACTCTAGCAGTCAGGGCTGGAAAGCAGGTCATGTGGAGTTGCTCTGATAAGCCTGATAACAGGTCTTCATCCTTACAGCATCCCTGAATGTGAGAAAAAAGGGATATCACCATTCTCTACAATTCCCAGCTGGAAAACCCAAGGGACCATAAGCTGTCTCCCAAGTCCCCTAGTAGGGAATGTTGGGAGCCAAAGGCCCCCTAGCCTCAGGGATAAGTACTGATGCTGCTCCGCCCTCAACCCATGTGATAATCCGATGGCTCGGACAGAGCCTTGGGGGGATGCTCTAGAGAGAAGAAGGCAAGGTGAAGGGATTAAAAGCTGCAGAAAGGTAGCAGGACCCAGGACTGGGAGGACCAGCATGTACAGGCTTGGGCACACCCGCCCCCTTCACCCGTCCCTTTCACCTTCCTTTGCTCCCAGTTTACAAGGCTTCCATATCAGGACCTGAAGAAAATCCTTTCAAGTAATTGTAAAGAGCCAAGTGGGTGGCATACATGGTGTTTAAAACTGCTGTGAGCCAACTTTTATAAATTAGGGTATTTTAGCAAGAAAATCTGGATTTCCAGTTTCTCTTAAAAAGGTCAGAAGATCCAGCAGCGATGGGTTACATTCTTGCATGGCAACAATCAGCTGGAGCTAAGGAGCCGCCCCCTTTATATAGGGCAGGTCTCTACCTTCCCATGGTCCTCACTTCTTGCTACCTTCTCACTCATGACCTGCTTCACTTGTCTATGTCACCTGCCTGGCCCAGTAGCATTTCTGGTCTATGCCACGCTTGGTCCCTACAGACACTAGAAGATATTAGTTCTCTCCCCTTCCAGGCCAAAGCTCAGCTCTTCCCTTTAATAATTATCTGTCATCCTAGTCCATGGCCTTCATCAAATAGGCCTCAGCCTTGTCAAGGCTCTGGAGGCCACAAGGCAGACAGCACAAACCCAAGAGGGGCTCTGGCAGTGGCTCCAAAGCAGGCAGGGACAGATCCCTGGAGAGGGGGCTGCAAAGGGGTGGTAGGAGGGCCAACAGTTCTCACCATCCACCACCTCTGCACATCTGGGGGCAGATCCATGTTGTCTCTGGTCCAGACCGGGGAGATGCTGCTGTCGAAGTGGCTGTCAAACCAGTTGGAGGTCCCAGTATCACCCATGCAGTGGTGGCACGCACAGCTCTTGCCCACAAGCCCCTCCTTGCTGAGGTGCTGCAGGCCAGCATAGCCGGGCACGAGCTTCACTCGGTGGGTGCCATCCAGGGCCTCTGTGTCCATGTATGGTAGGGTGGCTGTGCTGTGGTGCGAGTAGGTGAAGAGCAGTGACATGATGAACACCAGCAGGAAGGCCATGGAGAGGAACCAGACCCTCAGCGAGCACTTCATGGTGTGGAGTGGCGAGGGGCTGGACCACCAGCCTGGCAGGCAGGCGGGGGTCACCGTGGCCACTCCTTTTCCAGCCCACTGAGGGACCAGCCACGGTGTAGCCTACCTATTCTGGCACCACATGCAAAGGGCATAGGGGCACGTGCCGTGGCAGGGGACAGCGGGAGAGGTCCCACACCACTTATCCCTTAGCGTAAGGAGAAAGAAAGGTCAGTAGGGGCGACTCCCCTGTCTCTGACACCTGGTACCCTGAGCCGCTCAGGTCCCTGCTATGGCTTCATCAGGTCTCCCTGTCACTAGCTGGGCCACAGAGGCACTGCCTTGCCCACCGCCCCAGCAAGGGGGAGGTCAGTCCATTCCAGCCTTCTAGTCCCTTGAGGTTGCCGACTGCCAGCTCTGGGAGCCCCCCTCTTTGGCAGCTTGAAACAGTACAGTCTGGAGCAGTTGGGGTCCTTGTGGCTCATGAGCAGACACCGAGGCAACCCCTCGTCCCCTGCAATAGGGAAGTCCTAGAACCTCAATCACGACAGAGAGCACATGGGCTTCAAGGGGCCTGGATTCCATGCAATTGTCTTGCCAACTGTGGCCCTTCTGGCCCAATCCCTCTGCCAAGGGAAGGAAACCAGGCCCCAACCCTGAGAGAAGAAAGCCAGGAAGCTCACTGGGTATCAGAACACTCTGCTGCAGAGACAAAGATCCTCCTTGCATTAGGTTCTGCCCAACTTCGTTCCATCACAGGTGCCAGCCCCCTTGTCCCAATGGTCATGGCCCCAATTCCAGTCGTGTAGAGGGTTGCAGAGCTCCCATTCCTGCTGTGGGACCCTCTGGGGCTTGGAAACAGCTGCTGCTCAACGAGGTGCTGCTTCAAACGCCATCTGGGTCAGCCGAGTATGTGCAGGGCTGCCAGCCAGTGTTGCAGCCTCCTTCCTGGTGCTGCTGGCCCAGGCTCAGCCACTCCTCTGCCCATCCCCACTCCCCTGAGGCCGGCCTGTCCTGCCGTTAGCTCGTGCTAGCAGTAATCCCCTGGCAGGCTTCCCCTCACTTGTCAGGTGCTGCTGGGCTGCCGCAGCATGACCCTGAAACTGCAGAGAGGAAAAATAATGTGCAGATAAATCACACATGCACACCTGCTCTCCCCCATCCCCACCTCCAAATCTCAGAGAGGACACAGCTAGCAGGAGAAGAGATGCCCACTTAACCAAAGGGTGGACCAAAAAAAAGTGTTTTCCCTCTTTAAGTATCCACAGACAGTATCGCTCTCTGCAATTCCCAGGCCTCGGAGGATGAGATGAGCTCTGCATCCTCACTGATTAGCCAGTAGGTAAACAAGAAGGTAAAGTGACTCCCCAGAGTCACATAGCAAACGACTGAAAGAATCAGATTTAGAAGGTTCCTGTATGTAGTTAATTTCAGGTGAGACCTAAAGAAAATGGCCAAGAGAAGATCCCAGGGGACTGCGAGTACTGACTCCTTTGCCCTGGCACAGTAGTCTCCATCTCCTCTTAAGTGCCTGTGTGAGGCCCCTCACAGTGAGAAGGGAAAGCTGGGCCCAGTCCCTGTGATTTTGCTCCTCGTCTCTCTGGGTTGTGGATTACAGATGAAATATTTCTGGGTCAGCTCAGTGAGCCACTTAGAGTGCTCCAGCTCTGGTTCAGGGAGAAAACCTACGTCAGCAGGCCCAGGTTGTTGGGTTCAACACCACTACCCACCCCCCTGGGCCTCAGTTGCCTTCTTCTCTATATTAGCAACTACAGGAACCCCAGGGTCCCTAGTAGCACCCAGCCTGAGGCTCCTATGCTGCCGTACAGGGCAAGAGCTGGGACAAGTGGCCACCTATGGGGGGTGGTTTAGGTAGTAGCCCTAAGGAAAGAAACTTAAAGCCACACCACATGCAAAGGAGCCAGAGTAAGAGTCAGGGACAAAGCCGACATAGGAGCCATGGCTCCTCGCAGCAGGAATCACTCAAACCTGCCTGTCTCTCCTCTCCCACATCTCGTCTCCAAATCTGGCTTGCTCCAGTTCTGACCTGGCCCATGGGCCTTACAGCCCTATCCACCCACCTCCTTGTTGAAAGCTCCAGCTGGGCCAGCCCATCCAGAGTCCTCTGGCTGCAGCAAGCAGCTGCAGAGAAAATCCCTCAGGCCTCCATGTTTAAGGAACCAGCTGCCCTCTCCATCCTGGAAGCTCAGCTTCCTGGGGCCAAGCCAAACCACAAAGCCACCAGTGAACAGAACTAGCACGTTTCAGTAAGAACGGCAATATTCTGGGTGAAAAAATGCTCAGAGACGTGAAGGGACTTGCCTAAGGTCACATCCAGAAATGCCTCAGAAGAAAGGCCGGGCAATCTACTTCCAAAAAATCAGCCACCGAAAACCCTATGGAGCACAGTTCTACTGACACAGGGGGTTGCCATGAGTCGGAATCAACTCATTGGCAACTGGTTACTGATTAGGGCCTGGGGAGGGGGTAGAGCGTAGGGAAAAATGGGAAGCTACTGCTCATGGACATTAAGTCTCTTTCTGGAGTGAGGAAATGTTCTAAACTTAGATTGTGGTGATGTTGCACAACCATACGAACATTCTAAAAACTGAATTATACACTTTAAATGGTGAACTGTATGGTACGTGAATAAAGGTGCTCAAAAGAGGGAGTAGGTTATAAGGAAGGAGAATGGAGGGTTAAGCTGGGAGACATTACAGAATGCTTGCATACTGAGGGGAATGATTTAATAGAGAGGGAGAAGTTAATGATGCAGGGAAGAGAGGATCATTGAGGTGCAAAATCCTTGAGTAACAAGAGGAAATGAGGGCCAGCGCATAAGTGGAGCGGGTGTGTGTGGTAACAGGAAGAAAGCAGAGCACAGGGCCACAGACTCAGCGGGGTTAATCATTCAGTGGTAGGAAAACGAGATTATTGCTGGGGTTGGAGATTCACAGAGAGATGAGATGTGAAATAGTCCTCTAAGAGAGAAGGTGGGTAACTAGGGAAATGTAGAAGGGTGGTAAGGCAACGTAATGGTCTTATAAGAGGTTTGTGGTCACAAATTTGGCAAATTTGGTGAGACCATTTAACAATAAACATCCCCTGAATGGCTGGCCACTCTCAAGATGATGATGCCGAACAGAGATCCAAAACATCAGCGCTAGCAAGGGCCTGTAAGAGTAGATAGGGTCCTCTCCCTTCCCCAGACCCTTCCACCAACCAGGGGGTACACACTTGAGCAACTGTGCCCAGGACAAGGAACCATGGAAGCTCAGAAGATGCCCAAGCTAGCTCCAGAAAAGGAAAGGAAAAGCAGGAGCAATGGGTTGAGGAGCAAAGTGCCCCCAAAGAGGAGAACAGTAGGGGGGCGGGGGCTGTGCTTCGGAGGCTGTGGCAGCTTTAGAGCCATCCTCCGGTCAGTTTCCAGGAGAAGAGCTGCCAAATTAACCTAATGAAGCACAGGACAGCAGGCTCAGACCAGCAAAGCTGGACACAATCTTCTTGGCAGGCAGAGAAAAGAAACATTAAAATAAGGCCCTGAACTGGGCTTGGGATGGGGTATGGGAACTGCTTGCCCCTGGAAGTGGTGGAGAGAATGGTAAAAGCACCTGGCCCACAACTCTGATACAGCACCCTCTGCCTACCACTCACAAAGCCTGAGGATATGTCTCAGAGGCTCCTTCTAAAGGTGTCAACCACAGATTGTGATTACTCAAATTATATGATGCTTTATGAATTTCAGAGTATCTTTGGGTACGATGTCTCATATGGTGTTCACAGAAGTCCCCAGACCAAGTGAACAAGGCCAGCCAGCTGGTAAATAAGAATGCTTTAATGTCACTCCAGATCTGATGGCTCCAAGTACAGTGCTCCTTCCACAGCCACCCATCGCCTTCCAAAGCAGCTTTTCCACATTAAGAGGGATACAACCACTGAAGGGTTCTCATTTGCCCAGATCTCTGCCAACCTAGTGACCCAGCAAACTCCCTGCCTCCTGGGTGTGGCAAGAGCCAACCATGGCAGAAGGTGCCCAGTGGAGCCAGTAACTATGTTGAGGAAGAGGCCTGACAGCCCCTTCCTTACACAGGCACACAACACCACACACACACACAACACAAACCCAGGGAGGCATGTCCTTGCCGTGTATGAGATTTAGTCATTTCCCCACAGAATGCTGGCCTCACTGACATCATATGCATTGCAACATTCTGGCACCAGCCTCTGGCTCAGACCCCTCACAGCTACCCTGGTGGCTCAGGTCCTCCTTACTACCCAGTTACAACCCTCAGGCGGCCTCCTACACTCCAGCCCCTGCCTTCCTGCAACACACTGAGCCATGGCTTGATCATCCAGTCTGAAATCTCATTTCTCCTATCTCTGATGCTGCCCAGAGCCAGGAAATATCACGAGACAAGACCTGACAAAAGTCTTCAAACTAATGATCGTAACTACGGCTTTCAATGTAAAGTCCTAGAGAAATAAGCCATTTGTCTCCATTACAAGAGGACCAGTGTTGCACCCGAAGGAAGAGCCTCTTAGTGGAGCAATTCTGGGTTCCAGGGCAGGGGAAAGGAGTGGAGCAGGGGGAGAAGTGGGATCTAGGATTCCTTTAGATCAACTGCCTGCTCTGCCCAAGCCAGCTCTACCTTGCACCTGCTCCCTCAGGAGGGAGCCCCAGGGTGGTTTGTGTCTTGTGGGGGAAGGAAGTCCAGGAATTTTTTTAAATACATATTAACACTAGGGCAGGAAGCAAAGTATAGAAAAACAAAGTTATCTCAATAGCTAGGCAGGCAGGCCAGAGAGAAACAGTTGGGGAGAGAGGGAAAAAGATGGGGAAAGAATATAAAGTGGCTCCTTTTAAGAGTCCCTGTTTCCAGCTGACCAGATTTCTCCATGCTCCAGACCACTTCTTATTTGCTTTTTATTCAATCTGATAGTCTGGTGGTTTTCTAATATGTGAGTTTAATCCATTACACTTACATATTTGGACTTGTGTTACTTATTCTGTGTTTCTTCTTCTTCTTCTTTTTTTTTTTTTTTTTTTTTTCTCTTTTCCTGACTTCGGTTGGATTGACACATTATTCCCATGCCCACCCCTTCTTTTCCATCCTGGTTTGGAAATTAAATTCCTCTTC